ATTCTATTCTATTCTATTCTATTCTATTCTATTCTATTCTATTCTATTCTATTCTATTCTATTCTATTCCATTCCATTCCATTCCATTCCATTCCATTTTGATATAAAATCAAGCATTTTAAACCCCTAAAAAGCAGCTGTGGGGTGTTTTTAGTCCAATAGGAATGATTGATTTCTACCCATGCACAGGTAGTCCTCAACTTAGGACCACAACAGAGTCCAAAACTTGCTGTTGCTAAGCAAGACATTTATTGAGTTTTACCCCATTTTACGACCTTTCTTGTCACCGCTGTTAAGTGAATCATGCCACTGACCAGTTAATAACTCATTTGTTAAGTGGATCTGGCTTCCCCATTGACTTTGCTGGTCAGAAGGTCGCCAAAAGTGATCACTTGACCCCGGGACATTGCAACGGTCATAAATACGAGTCAATTGCTGGTGTGTGTGTGTGTGTCCAAATTGTGATCACATGACCTGCAATGGTCCTGCAATGGTCGTAAGTGTGAAAAATGGTCACGAGTCCCTTTTTTCCGGTGCCGTTGTAACTTTGAACGGTCACTGAATGAATCATTGTAAGACCAGGGCTGCCTGTACAAGGTGTTTAAAGGGATCCAGGATTCACCGTCTCATTGATCCCGCTGGAAAATGCAGGGTTCAAAAATGGGCTCATTCAATGTAGCAGGAGCAACATTTGTGCCGGGACACTGGAAGAGACGAAAGCCATTTCCTTAATCTCTCTCTCTCTCTTTCTGCCTGTCACCTTTGTACTTCTTGACAGACTGCTGCGGAGGCGAGAGAAGTCTGAGAGCAGGATGAGGAGGCTTGCATCTCCTTGAGGAGGGGATCAAGGATGAAGGAATGTCCTTCCTTCCTCCCTCCCTCCCTCCCAGCAGATTTCTCTCAAATCCCGGCGCCCCTTTGGATCTAGTTCAAGGTCAGGAAGAGATACTGATACCGTAGGTTGAACAAACGCACAGCAAGCCTTTTAATAGCCGTGCAGCTCCAAAGGGAAATTACACCACAGCGCTTAGAGTTGCCTTGAAGCATTTAGGGGTGGGTGAGGCAGAGCCCTAAATAAAGCCCAAAGGTAGCACTGAGGACTTGGCTCATACATCTCGTTAATAGAACCCCATCAGCCCCGCCCGCCAAAAAGGACTCCGGTGACACATTGGTCAAAAAGCCGTAGCAGATAGAATAGCACTTCACCTACTTTGGGAGCAGTCACAGGCCCCGAGCAAGGCTTTCTCATCCTGGCTGTAATCTGGAACAAAAAAGAAAAGTTTTCTGGCAAGGAAGGAAGGTAGAAGGTATAGAAAGCAGGGGAATGCCCCGCTAATGGGAGGATGGCGAACCTCCGTGCCACGCGGGAAGGGAGAATCCGCGAAAGGGACCAAAGGAGAATAACAGGACCAGACGGCAAAAATGAAATCGCGGCGTCGCTAATATGAGTTTATGAGAACTAGTTTGGTCTAGCAGTTAAGGCACCAGGCTAGAGAGCGGGAAGCTGGGAGTTCTAGCCCCGTTTTTGGCATGAAAGCCGGCTGGCTGACTTTGCCCTTGCAGCCCAACTCATCTCAACAAGATGGTTGCTGTGAGGAAAATAAGAGGAATATTGGATATTTAGGAGGTGTTGGGTATATTTGCTTCCTCGAGTTATTTGTGAAAGTAATAAAGGCAGAATATATATGAATGAATGAATGAAAGTGATTGAGTGAGTTTTTGAATTACAAATTATTTGTATGATGATGTCATCAGGAGCACAACATCATTGTGGCTTCTCCCAAATTCCCCAAAGACATTGCCTGTGGGATACACTCTGGATTCACTGCAAGTAAAAACCAGCAAGGAGGGTTCTATGATATCCAATAATTTCTACCACAGCCCCACACACATACAAGGTAGTCCTCGACTTATGACTATAAATGTGGCCAGAATTCCTGTTGCAAAACAAGCCAGTTGTCAAATTGAGTTGTGCCACATTTTACAACCTTTTTGCCATGGTTGTTAAAAGTGAATCACTGCAGCTGTCCATGTGGTCATTAAATAAATCTGCTTTCTCCCAGGTTCTTTGATTGTCGGAAATCGGCTGGGCAGGTTACAAGGGGCGATTACATAACTCTGGGATGCTGCTTCCATTGCAAATCTGTGTCAGTTGCCAAGCACCTGACTTTTGATCACGTGACTGTGAAGATTCTGCAGTGGTTATAAAGTGTGAGGACTTAGTGGACAACCAACTAAATATGAGCCAGCAGTGTGTAGCAGCAGCCAAAAAAGCTAATGCAATCCTAAATTGTATTAACAGAGGGATACAATCAAGATCAAGTGAAGTACTAATATCACTTTATAAAGCCTTAGTAAGACCACACCTAGAGTACTGCATCCAGTTTTGGTCACCACATTATAAAAAAGATGTTGAGACTCTAGAAAAAGTACAGAGAAGAGCAACCAGGATGATTAGGGGACTGGAGGCTAAAGCATATGAAGAACGGTTACAGGAACTGGGCTTGACTAGTCTAGTGAAGAGAAGGACCAGGGGAGACATGATAGCGGTCTTCCAATATTTGAGGGCTGCCACAGAGAGGAAGGGGTCAAGCTATTTTCTAAAGCGCCTGTAGGCCAGACAAGGAATAATGGATGGAAACTGAACAAGGGGAGATTTAACCTGGAAATAAGGAGAAACTTTCTGACAGTGAGAACAATCAACCCATGGAACAGAAGTTGCCCTTGGAAGTTGTGGGAGCGCCATCACTTGAGACTTTCAAGAAGAGATTGGACTGCCATTTGTCAGAAATGGTGTACGGTCTCCTGCTTGGGCGGGGGGGGGGTTGGACTAGATGACCTACAAGGTCCCTTCCAACTCTGATTATCTGTTATCTGACTGGTTGAAAGTCACTTTTTTTCAGTGCCACTGTAACTTTGAACAGTTGCTGAATGTATAGCTGTAAGTCGGGGAACTCCCTGTGTCACCATGGAAGAGTATAGAAACCAGTCTGGTTTCCCAACCAGAATTTTCCCTTCCAAGAAATTCTCTTTCTTCTCTTTTTCTGATTGCAGTGCACTCTCAATTTCCTTTTGAACAGATTCCCTTACAGAGTTCCCTTCTGGCTGCGTGTTCCCTTTTGTTTAATGCTACTTGATGCTTTTTTGAAAAGAAATAAAAATCAGAGGAACCTCACTACTGAAGTGTATGCTCCTTCACAAGAGCAGAAGTTGCCGCTGTGAGAATTAAGTCAGCCTTCTTCAAATCAAGGTAGTCCTCCACTTATGACCACAACTGAGCCCAAAATGTATGTTGCTATGTGAGAAATTCATGAAGTGAGTTTTGCCCCATTTTACAACTTTTGTTGCCACGCTTGTTAAGGGTTAAGTTAGTAACACGGTTGTTAAGCAAACCTGGTTTCTCCATTGATTTTGCTTGTCAGAAAGTCGCAAAAAAAGATGGTCAAGTAACCCCAGGACACTGCAACCGTCATAAATATGAATCATTTGTCAAGCAACCAAATGTAAATCATGTGACCATGAGGATGCGGCAATGGTCATAAGTGTGAAAAGTGGTCATAAGCCACTCTTTTTCGTGCTGCTGTTGTAATTTCATATGGTCACTAAATGAGCTGTTGCAAGTCAAGGACTACCTGCAGATTGGAGTACACTGCTTTTCTTCAGACTGAAGGCCCTTTGCTTGAATGTTGTCTCGGGTGTCAGTCTCCAAAGGGCAGGGAGGGACAAAGATATTTGGGAGAAGCCACGATGATTGCACGTACCCGATGATGTCATCATACAAATAATTTTCAATTCGTAAACCCATGTCAGTGATATCATGAAACCACTTGTGTGATTGTGTCATGACAGATGTGCCATCCCTTGCATCCCTGGCCCCGCCCTGCAGATGGGATCAGGACAACAATGAAGATTATTTAACCACGTTTACCGGTAAATTAAAACACCCGAAGTCTTCTGACCCCCATGCACCAAGTTGGTGTCCCAAGAAACTAACTATTCATAATTGATTTGCAGCCCTATATGTGATCTGGGCGTGAAGCTCAAGAATATGAAATGTATGTGGCTGACTTCTAGAGGTTCTGACTCTTCATGCAACCTAGAGGTCACCTGGATTGATTTTGCATCCCTGATCTGGTAGCCTAACATTTCCTGACAAATTTCCGAACCGTGAAATTTAGACATTTTCCTAACTGTGAAAACCATGAAGCCGTGGAACGGCTTTGCCTTACGAAGTTGTGATGCTCCATCACTAGATGCTTTTAAGAAGAGACTGGACAGCCATTTGACTGGAATGGTACAAAGGGCCTCCTTTCTTGAGTAGGGGTGTCAGGGTAGTGATTTAAGAGCTGACCAGCTGCTGCCGGGAGGCAATGATGGGAATGAGTCAACAAGGTTTTTGGCTATTGTCCCTTTAAGAACCTGTATAATAAGAGGAGGCCCTTATTAGGCATCTCTCTCTCTCTCTCTCTTCTCCACTGCTATAATTGCTGCTTGTTTGACCTCTGCTTGTAATACGTGTATGTATAGTATATATTCTTTTGTAGATAAAAGCACTAGTTATTACAAACCTCTGTTTGCTATTATTGTAAAGCTGTGCACACTCTGACAGGGGGTTGGACTAGAAGACCTCCAAGGTCCCTTCCCACTCTGTTCTTCTGCTATTTCTTTTCTTTCAGCCCTCTTTTAAGAAGGATTCAAAGCATTACTTACCAGCACTGATAGTACTAAACCTGTGTGTGTCCCTAAGGAGTTGATCAACCATAGGGCTAGCCCGTGGATACAAGGCATGGCGATTGATCCCCAGGTGGAACTGAAGCCAGCTTGCCTCGTGTCTGAGTTGAACCACTGAACCCATGGTTAGGTTGCGTTCTTCTCTATAAACCTGGTGTCTTCTGAAATACATGAAGCAGAGAACTTGTGTTTATAATTATAAGAAATTGATGTCACAATGTAAGAAAGTTTTAGAGAGCTGGAAGAAGTTGCAAATATCATTGATGGGCAGAATTGCCACAATAAAAATGAACATATTACCAAAAAAATTTATACTTCTTTCAGACAATTCCCATAAAACTGGACTGAAAATTCTTTGAAGACTTGAACAGAATGGTGCTTAAATTTATTTGGTTAGGAAAGAAAGCACGTATTAATATAAAAATGCTACAAGATAATAGAAGTAGAGGTGGCTAGGACTCCCAAAATGGGAACTATACCATCAGGCAGCAGCACTGCTCTGGATTAAAGATTGGATAAATTTAAATAATAAGAGGATATTGGTATTAGAGGGACATGATCTCCACAGAGGATGGCATGCCTTTTTGTGGGACAAACGGGAAAGGACCCATTCGTATATTTACCATGATCAAATTAGAGATTCATTAATAATAATTTGCCACAGTTGTTAAGTGAATAACTCTCAGTTGTTAAGTTAGTAACACGCTTGTTAAGTGAATCTGGCTTCCTCCCATTGACTTTGCTTGTCAGAAGGTCGCAAAAGATTATGAGGTGATCCCAGGTCAATGCAGCTGTTATGAATACCTGCCAGTTGCCAAGTGTCCAAATTTTGATCACATATCCATGGAGATGCTGCAACAGTTGTAAGGGTGAACAATAGTCACCAGTCACTTTTTTCAGTGCCATTGTAACTTTGGTTACGAAATGAATGGCTGTAAATTGAGCATTACCTGTAGATCAGGGGTGTCAAACTTGCGGTCCGTAGGCCAGATGCATCATGCACTGGCCACCCCCACCCGTGGTTTAGTGAAGGGGGAAAAACGGCAATACGTCACATGACAACGATGTGACAACGCGGGGTTGACACCCCTGGTGTAGATAATTTGTCCAAAGAGATCTAAGCTTCAACCTAGACAATCAATAGGCTGGACATTGCCATCTTTGCAACAAATCATTGTTGGCCCAAGTGAACAATGGGTCTGGCTACTATCTCTCTCCGTCCCTTACTTCCTTCTCCCAGTTGCTTGCAGCACATCTGTTCCTGTTAAGCCACAGCAGACAATGCCAGTTAGATTTCTTAAAATCAGTTTACTGACAATTGCTGTTTCTGCTTTCCACCATGCTTGCAACTGGAAGAAGGCATGATCTGGTCTGGATGGCACAGTTTTACATTACCTACAAATAGTCCTCAATTTACAACCGAGGGGGGATTCAAATTTTTTAACAACTGGTTCTGGGGGTGTGGCCAGGTGGGCATGGTCATGTGACTGGGTAGGCATGGCTTTTCATTCATTCTTTTTTTTTTTTGCGGCTCCCCCCCCCCCCCCCAGCATTTTTGGGCCTCCTGGGCCTCAGGGAAGCCTCCTGGGAGGCATTTTTGCTCCTAGAAGGCTTCCCTGGGGCCCAAGAAGGCAAAAAATGGAGTGTAGGGCAGTGGTGGGATTCGTTTTTTTTTTTACTACCGGTTCTGTGGGCGTGGCTTGGTGGGCATGGCAGGAGAAGGATACTGCAAAATCCCCATTCCCTCCCCACCCCACTAACCTGCTTTCCAGCTCCGTTCTCCTGTGCAGGGCAACAAAAGAAGAGTCCCAGCTGATCAGCTGGGACTCGGGAGGCAGAGAATAGATGAGGGTGGGCCCAGTCAGAGGTGGTATTTGCCAATTCTCCGAACTACTCAAAATTTCCACTACCGGTTCTCCAGAACTGGTCAGAACTGGCTGAATACCACCTCTGACCCTCATGCAGCTCATGGTCCTAATTTCAAAAAAAACTGACGGAGAAGAAAAACATGTCAGCTGCTCATCTTTGCTTTCTTTGAAGCTCGCTAGCAACTGCCATAACTGGGGTTGGGGTGGGGTTGAGAAGGGGGCATATGGAAGGGGGAAGTGTGCTGGAGGTGTGAAAGAATGCTATGGGAAATTGAGGAGTATGGACACTAACTGGAACTAGTGGTGCCAAACCGAGCCATCTGCTGAGCTTCAAGGACGCCAGTCCTGGAAAAGGAATTTGCACCGGCGCCTAAGGCACCGAGTTCCCAAAACATTGGAATGAGACGTGATTGGACTGCTCTCCCAGGGGGGAGGGTTTTGGACATTGAGGATTGTTTTCAATATACAATTTTCGTGTGGTTTTTCCTCAGAGCTTGCCTCATCCACGCTGCACTCAGCATCTCTAGTAAAAGTTCCTTTTCTCTAACACCTATGGAGTCAAGGATCGTTCTTTCCTAGAGAGTAGCTAGGGCCAGTCTGACAGTACAACAGAGAAAAAGAAGGTGTCAGAAAGAAAAAGGCAACTGTGGGTATAGAAACACGGAGCATCTACAAGACAGAGAATTGGAGACTCTCCTCATGTTTTGTTTTGGCTTCACTCCTGGCTACTGATTTGCATCAAGCCTCCAACAAATCAGAGTTCTGCATTAGTAAACATTCATGGGTTCATTCATGCATTCAATATGGATGGTTGTCCATCTCACCAAATGACTCTGAGAGATTAACATAGGGTTAAAAACTTGCCAAACAAACTCAACAATATACAATAATATACCGTCTGTCTAAGGGTTGCATCTTGCCTAGGGCTCGTTTCTATCAGAATCTTCTTGCATTAGACTGGAGTCCATTAACACAAAATGGCTCTTTTCTTTTTCTTTCAGTTCGTTGGACATTTCAGAAATGGATGATAAGAGTTGGCAGACCAGGCTCTTCTCAGAAGCTGGAAACCCGCACTGCAAATCCGTTTTATAGTTCAGGTAAGCCAGTTCAAGAGAAATGTCCCTTTCCGCATGGTTACTCATTCCTTTCCAATCAGATTCTTGTAAGTAGATGTGCATTCTGTATCTTTACTTGAATCCATGTCTAGGTCATGAAATGAACAGGCTAAGTGGAGCCAGCAGTTACTAGACAAACAAATACTGGGTACAATTACCTTTGGGGAAAAAAATCTGAAATGGTTGCCTACACTAAGTACTCCAAGATCGGAAGTGGAGAATGGCCTACGGCTCAGGACATTTGTGGTTTCCAAGATGTCTAAAAAAATAACAGGGCACCAAGCTTTTTCCAAACCATAATAATCTGACAATCTCTTGGAGAGATATAAATCCTGTAATTGCATGTGTCATCAGTGTCAGTGACAATAATGAAGGCCATATTTGCATTAAAAGTTTAGTTGGTCCACAGTAGAAAACTCTAACTCTGTGGTGCCATCTAGTGGTCACCCAGAATTCTCGCAGCCTAGATACAGCCATCAGCCCTTTGTGTTGGGGTTAAAGAGAATTAATTTTAGCTCCAAATAGCTTTGGGTGTAACCTTCCCTGGTGTGCTCTGTCTTGCAAACACATAAAGGAAATTAACAGAGGGCTCCTGGAAGAGCTACAAGTACTTAGGGCAGCCCACATAACTGGACCTTCTCCAAAAACTCCCTTTTTCTGATTTTTCTATTTTTTCTGTCCCTGAGCATAGTTTGCTATTGTGGTATCCAAACTGTCCTATTAGAGTCACTAAGTGATGTTATAGTTTTAATCTGGGACAAATAAAGGAAAGTTGGTGGATTCCAGAGGTGGTTCTGACCAGTTCTGGAGAATCAGCAGTGAAAATTTTGGGTAGTTCGGAGAACTGGCAAATACCACCTCTGACTGGCCCCGCTCCCGTCTATTCTCTGCCTCCCGAGTCCCAGCTGATCGGCTGGGTCTTCTTTTGTTGCCCTGCACAGGAGAACAGAGCTGGAAAACAGGTTAGTGGGGTGGGGAGGGAATGGGATTTTGCAGTATCCTTCCCCTTACCATGCCCACCAAGCCACATCCACCAAGCCACGCCCACAGAACCAGTAATACATTTTTTCGAATCCCACCACTTGTGGATTCCTCTGGCTTCTGTTTGTCCTCCCACCAAGTATTACTTGCCAATCATTCTTGAACAAGTAGTGAGAGGAGGACGGGGATGGAGAATTGTATACAGATGCTTGGAGCAGCAAACAACTCTCAACTTCTCTGACCCCAAGAGGCTGGAGGTGCAGAATTCCCATGTGCGCCATCCTGCATCCATGGCTGTCAGTGGGGCTATTCTTGGACATCAATTTATTGCTCTTTTCAAAGGAGAGGTAAGCTCACATTCAGAAGAAACCCAGATGATAGATGTGGAAAAGGGGATGCGTGCAGGACCCGTCTCTTGCTTCAACCAGTATGTCTCCCGTACACTGTAGCCAGATGAATAGTTTTGGAGAAAGTGCATGGATTAGAATCCACCTTGAGCCACTACTGCGAAACACATGGCAATTTGGGCTGAGGAAAGGCGTGAAACATGCAAAATGTGTGAGGTCAGCAAAACACTTCCCTTCTTCTCCAAAATAATAAAAACAGTGGGAAATATGACCCCCTCCATCATACTCTTCTCAGCAGAAACAATGGAAAACTTCCACCGGCTTCCCCATTTGCTTTGCTTGTGGGGACCACGTAGGATTTATTTAACAACAGCAGCCAGAAGTGCCAGAAGTGCCATAGCTGAGTGATATGGACATGTGACATCATGCTTTCCAACCATGTTGCTAAGCAATGGCAACCCCAGTCCCTATTGCTGTCATTAATAAAAAGGATACTGGCTTTTTTTTTTTTTTTTTTTTTGAATGACAACTTCATTTGCTGTCTTCTGAATCTAGCAAGCCAAGAATGTAAGGACTAATTCTCCAAACTAGTAAGGAAGTTCTGATGGGATAATGATTGTTGTGGGGGAGGGGCAGGGAAGGAAAGGAGAATCTGGGGGTGGGGAAAATGGCAAATTCTCTTTAGTGTAGGTAGGTATAGGAACAAGACTTTTTGGGGGTTTGCCTACAAATCTCCAGAAACATCACTATAGTCTCTCTCTCTCTCTCTCTCTCTCTCTCTCTCTCTCTCTCTCTCTCTGTATTTTTGGGTGAATGAGTACTCTGATTAAGCACAAGAATCTTTGGAAAA